CAACTTCATCATCCCATCAGCCTCCAGTATATTCAACGCAATTATTACGTGATCCAACCGGCATCCCTCGTCCTCGCTTTGGGTCATTTTGACGAACTCGGCAAGCATTTGTTGGGGGGGACAGGATGGGGTGTGGTCATGGCCCAGATTTTAGGCAAACCCCTCTATGTCTTTGATGTGGACAAAGAACAATGGTTTTGGTGGAATCCCACCTCCCAAGAGTATCAAGTCTGTGATGGTATGACGGAGGAACAAATCGCGTTACCCACCCTCCAAGATAAAACGGCCATTATCGGTACCCGAGAAGAAGACCCAGTCCTCTATCCCACCCTGGAAGCTTTATTTAAACGTCAATGAAAAAAAAAAACATTTGCTCTAGACAAATCACGTGTTTTTAATGTTCTCAGTGTACATCCATGAAAATAAAATCCATGGCATTCATGACTTTGTAAATCAAGTCTAGTCTGTTCATCACTTTGTCTATGGTGTCATAGGAGGGCTTTCTTTGGCCAATCATAACCGGACGTTGACCCACAGGATGCTCTTTAAACCTTCCATAAAACTGGTCAATGATGAAGGCTATTCCCTCGTTCATGAGTCTGTCCAAGTTCGGTTTGGGGCGCGCCATCTCTACTGACATACCAATCTAAAAAACCAAAACCATGTCAGTCATCGGGTCACCAAGACAAAAAAAAAGGGACTTTTCAAACAATTACTTACCGACAACCGGTGATCGTGTATACGATGGCAATGGTGGCAACCATTGGTCCGGGGGGCATGCAGACGTACAATCACTTGATTCCACCATTGACCCTCACCTAGGTGTCGGGGAAAGCCTGTGATGGAGCAATAGGGCAATATCTTGATTTCTTGCACCACCTTCTTGCGTTTGTCCATCGTATAGAAACAATGGACCCAAAACATAATCTTCACTTGGATTTCCAACGGCAACACACGGCCAAACGGTTTATTTCTGGGATCAACAAGTCCACGGCAGTCCATGTTGAAAACAGCGTCAAGCATGGAATGAGGTCTCTCTGCCCTGTTTCCTTTATTCATGGGTTTCTGTGGCCAATCGCCTACTCGCGCCAGGACTTGGCATCCACCCTAAAAAGGTGTACCCATGGGGGGCACCCCCTAGAGTTTCCTCTCCTGGTCAAATTCTCCCACATGATCTCTCTCCACCAATCAGCGCCTCCCATCAAGTCTCTAAATCCCGTTGCGCGCTCTATGCGAGCTCATTCCAGTTTGATCCGTCAAGCTATTCAAGATGGTGAGTTCTCTCCAGTCTATCGTACTGTTCTCCGTGCCGATTGCGGTCCTGTTTGATATGTTGAAGTTGTTGTGCCACCTCCCGATGGGCCACGAATGCCTGCGCGCCATGTTCCGTCGCTGTACCCACGAGGAGTTACGAGCTTGGGCCAGAACGCTACCATGGGATCATCCCGTTGCCCGGAAATTGGATCACGAGGTCCATCGCCGCCGTATGGCTGGTGAGTGTCATCGTTTTTATTTTTTTGGGGTGTGGGTCCCTTTTTTCCTTATACCTTTTTTTGAATTTTTTCATAGAGGTATTCAAGGGGTTCGAGTTTCTACGAACCGTGCTGTGGCCTGTCCATTTATGTCTTTGCCCTCGACGTGCTCGACTCAATTGGGCCGCGCGGTTCTGGGTGCCAAATTGTTCGTGTTGATTTTTTTTGTCAGATTCTTGGGAGTATGTAGAGAATCAGCCTGTGTGTCATATCTATCAATGGCTCGCCCATCCCACTCATGGCGGAGTATGCAACCATTGCGAGAGAATGATGGACGGATTGCGAATAGATGACCTAATTGCTGGCCGTAGGGAGGGGACCCTCACCGAAGATGAAATAGTCGACTATGTTCAGAGTGGGGACCCCAACCATCGCGATTGGGACGACTTTCCCTTGAGAATGACGTTTCGCATCAATTCGTTTTTACGGTCCCAGGGTATTGTGGGTGAACCCGATTTGGCGGCCCTGGATTTTTTAGAGGATTAATTTTCATATGAACTATTTTTTTTAGGCACGCATTGCCTTCTACGTGATCATTTGCATTGGATTCCGAGTGTGCGCTCTTTACGTTCTAATTTTTTCCGAATTTTGCATCGTTCATTGTAGGCTTTCATTACACGTTAAACCAGTATGGAGATTGGATACGTCCCATTCAATTACGATGTCAGTATAGCACGGTTAAATGTATAATCCAACTTCATGAAACGTTTAGTCACGTTAACAGAGTATGGGGGATGGATACATCCCGTTCAATGTGTAATCAGTCTTCATAAAACGTTTCAGATGTGATTTCTGTGATTGGCCTTTATGGTTTTCAGATGTGATTTCCGCTATAGAAGAATGGGGGTGGATCCTTTCCTTGCAACACCATTACCATATTCATAGTGTTCGACAATTCACTCAGTTTTGTGATGGTACTGCTTTTTAGATACCCGTAGACACCTCAAAAGTGGTCGCTGGTTCCGAGATTGTGTGGCTTTTTTACTTGGACGAGATACCAAAGACATTTATTATTATTGAATTTTTTTTTTAGAAACACATAGTCATATCTACAACAGTTGCTGGTTCCGAGACCGTATTGCTTTCTTACTCATAAAGACCGAGTATTAATTTTTTTCGTAGATTCGCACACTATTCTCAGCACCCACAGGGTTCATGGTACTTCCGCGGCCTGGTGTTTTTGTGGTAGTATCGTACAATGGTACACTGGAACAGGGGTTGCCCTTCCACCTTATCCAAGACCCCTCAAATTACTCTGTTGTCGTTGTTTTTTAAATTTTCGTCGTGTGCGCGATTTAGATGTGCCCTGTTATTGGTGTGAGTTGATGCAAGGGATGGGCTATCCACCCCGTGATTAACCCCCATCCGTTGTTTTTTCGTTTCAGACACTCGTTTTGTCATACGAGCTATTTATATCCCTTGCCTTTTTCAGCCACTGCCCAGATAATAGAGAATCACACCAGATATTACCATGCTTATCTGATGAAGCAGTTGTATTTTGTGTGCAAACGCTGTTGGACGTATTCACGTCACGTGAACACCCTCCATGAACCCTGTTGGGGATGTCACATTTTAGAAAGCACAGGATGGGATTTTTGAACACCCGGCAGGGGGAGGTCTGCATGGTGGCGCCACCCCTGCTGGATGTTCATTCTCATTTTTTTTTTTATTTAGATTCTCATCGGATGCTAGATGATGAGATCCTTAAAATCCTTATAGACTTTGATTCGTCTATCCTCAAAGAAGGACCAACGCGTTCAAATCATTCTTTTTTTCATTAGAATCCCATTGGATCATTGACTTTGCTATGATTTTTCGAGGATGGCCCATCCCTCATCAACTTTCTATCGTTCTTCATTAGATTCTCATTGGCTCATTCAAGATCTTATGATTTTTCGAAGCTGGCCTATCCCTCATAAACTTTGCATTGTCAATCATCAAGGATGGTCTAGTTTTCTCCATTTGTTCAAACTCAGACATTGATTTTTTTTTGTTTTATCAGTATGTCATTGGTTCTTAGATGCTCTTAGAGGGTCCAACAAATTCCATTGGCTCCAACTAAAGCGTTAATTTTTTGTTTTTTATTAGTATGTCATTGGTTCCTAGATACTCAAACCAAGATTATGATTTTTTATTAGCCTGTCACTGGATCCTAGACCATTTTGATTATAATCAAGACTGGATTTTAATAGAATATTATTGTAAACAAACATTTCAAGGGCGTGACACCACCAGGGTGTCACACACGTCCCACTTGTAATCGAGGTCTGTTTTTTATTTTCCAGTCAATCATTGGACCCTAAACCATCGCCTTGTGCGTGCCAATGGTCGGCTGTATCTCATCCAGTTTGCTTCTTGGATCTAACCATTCCTTTATTCAATTCGTTTCAGTCACTTTGGCCACGATCAAATTCCCTTTCCTCAAACCATGGTCATACACAGGTTTCAACCACTACATCAAATGGCCTCATCCCAGTCATATGACTTCTTCTGCCATGAAGCAAACACCTTTTTTCGATTTTGTGCATTAATGTAAAAAAAAAAAAATGGGCGTGATATCACTAGGGTGTCACACACGTCCCGCTTGTACCCAGGGCTTCACGCGGTTCATTAAAACTATGCCAAGAATGTGAGATTCAACTCTTGTGTGCGTGTGTTCTTTATTCTATGGGGTCACGTGTCAAACCATGCCCAAATATGGGCATTTGTGACGTCAATAAGTCACATGGGCGAAATGCGCGATGCTGATTGGTCGAGACAAATTTTGCTGCGCTCTGATTGGTTAGGACCCCAAGTAGCCCCTTACACTACTGTAGTACTCTCAGTTGCGTCATGATACAGAGTTAATTGCCGGCCGTGTGGATTGTTTAGTGGCCCGGCTGCGACTTAACCTATTTCACCTGTATGGGCTAGCTAGCAGGTTGTTTGTGTACAGCTGACCCCTTACCTCAGCTGCCTTCCCTTGACATTTTGTTCTCGACTATTTAAAAGACATAAAATAGCACGACAAGAGATTCGTTTGGGAGAAACCGAAGATTAACATTTGTCAAGGAAAATCGAAGGAGACTCTGCTGCAACTTTTAATTTCTCGCAAACTATCTCGTGTGTTTGAATCGTGCTACTTTAAAAACTCAGAGCTGCCATTTTTTTTGTTTACAAATTATATGCAAACTACAGTAAAACAGCTGACATAGGAACAAAAAACAAGTTTCAAATGGTATTTGGCCAAGCCTATAGATTAAGTAATTGCTGCCTTTATTTGAATTAGGTCTTGTCCAGGCAGTTGAATCAGCATTCGGTGATTTAGAGGTACCAAACTGGAAGGAAAAGTTGACTGGATTTGGGGCTGATGGCGCCTCTGTAAACGTGGGCCATAAAGGAGGTGTTTCCGCATTACTTAAAAAGGATGTTCCCCATTTGCTTGAAATCCACTGTTTTCCTCACCGCCTGGAGCTTGCTCTTCTTAGCATGCAACGGGATTGCCATCTGGTGACTCAAGTTTACGACGTCCTTCATTTGGTGTGGAAAACATACCACTACAGCCCAAAAAGCAAGCGTGATTTGAAGACCCTTGGAAGCCAGCTTGGAATTGACGTGTTGCAGCCAACTCGAGTGAAAGGATCAAGGTGGTTACCACATGTCAGCAGAGCCCTTGACGTGTTCATTAAACCAGTGAAGGATGGAGATTTGGCAAAAGATGAATCGCAGTATGCAGCTGTTCTACAGCACATGGAGCACTTAGCCTCAACGTCTCCTAAAGCAGAAATCAAAGGCAGAGCATTTAATGTTGCTCGCGCTATGAAAAAGGTTTCCTTCCTTGTTTTTTGCCATTTTCTTGCTGATATGTTTCAGATTCTTGGTAAACTAAGCCTGCATTTCCAACGAAATGACTTAATACTTCCAAGCGCTCTTGCTATTCTAAAGGAAACAGTTGAAAACATTAAGAGCCTGCCTAAACGACCAATTCCCGGTGGAAGAATGGAAACCCTTCTAGCAAGTTTCGCAAAAACGCAATGTGAGCCACCAATGTTTCAGGGAATTCAACTTACCAAATCAGGATCGGCCAATGTTCGGAACACTGCTTCCAAAGTTCATCACAGTGGCAGTGACGAGGTTCCCAAAAGCATTGAGCAAGCAGTACAGCTTTGCCTGAAAGGACTTGAAGACAGGTTTGGGCCATTGCTTCAGCACAAGTCTGAGAAAACTGCTACAGTTAATGGGGTTATCTCAGACTTGACTGTCTTCAACCATGATGCTTGGCCTACAGATATGGAAGCCCTTCTTGATTTCGGCAGGGAAAAAGTCGAACGTTTAATCAATTGGTTCAAAGTTCCACTTGTCTCCTCTGGATGTAACACAGGTGCAATTCAACCTCAGTGGCTGTCCCTGAAGATTCTTGTCCATTCTGAGTTCATGGATAAAGGATACAATGATCTTTGGGCCACACTTATGACAAAGGAGCCGTACAGGAATGAACTGAAGGATGTGTTGTGCCTTGTTGAAATTCTCCCTGTGTTTCCCCTTTCGGCCGCTCAATGTGAGAGAGCAATCTCGGCACAGAACCGAACCAAGAATTGCCATCGAGCCTCCCTCGCCCCCGAGACAACTGAATCTTTGATCAGGATTTCAGCTGAGGGTCCTCCTGTCGTTGACTACGATCCAGCTCCAGCTGTTGCTGCATGGTCAAAAAACCTCGAAGACCATTCTATACGCCATGAACAGAACTCTTTGAGCGCCACCTACAAATAACGTTACATCACTGTACAAAACTTTAAATCCCCAATCTGTTTACTTGTTTATAATATTATCATTCAAGACAAAGTACCAACGTAAACCAGCAATCTAATTTGTTGAAACATCAGCGCCATTGATCGATGTTTTGGTAAATGCAGTTAGTCACCGAATCGCGATAAATGTATATTTTACATTCTCCTCTGAATACGTTGTCGTGATAAATTCAAGTGTTAGTACTGCTTTTTCGTGATTAGAAAACCATGTATAGATATTTATTAGGATAACTAAGAATAACTTGATACTGATATACGTCAACAATGAGTGGAAGTTATTCAGGCAAGTTTCATTTAGCACGTACAAACAGTATATTTATCAACTTTGAAGTAAGAAACGTTTATTTAGGCCAGAAGTATTGTTATTGTTATTGTTGATTCAAGTTTTAATTTACATATGTGAGTGGTTTCAATGCCAATGATTTAGCTAAAGAAAGATGTTTCTTAGCAAGTAGACGGTACGAACAAATGTATATTCACGTAATCGTATCTGATCAGATTTGTTTTAATAACCGATATCACTGCAAATACATGTTCCGGGTTTCAACATCCGACTTTGTAGTAAATTGTTCTGGTTACCTCTCATAAATGTCTTTGCCTGTTTTTGCCATCTTGTACTGCGTTTACAACCCGCAGGCAAGTAACAATGGAGTGTTAAAAACACGATTTATTTCCGTACACAACGTTCAGCAGTAGCTCCTTCATGTAAGTAGCATGAAGTGTCTTGCGTTAATGAAACGACAATTTTTGGCGACCGAAATTTTCCATTGGCGACCATTTTAAAAATGAAGCTCGCCAAAAGGCGACTTATTGAAAAAATGAGCTTGGAGCGCTGACCAAAGGTGATCTTGCCAAGATTGTTGGGGAACTTGTGACCCATCAAGCTTTTCGTCATACCCCAGGCAGAAAATATGTTTGTTATGCAAGGCAAAAGCCAAGCATATTGTGCGGGTTTGACATGCAGAAAATGTTTACCTGGATTGATGAGCACAAACTGCACATGATTCTGCATAGACGTGCTCGTTAGAAGTGAATATCGCACATGTGTTCTTTTGTACTTGTATGCGTACATTCTAGGGAGCAAGGGTTACTTTTACTATAATTAATCATGGACCCCTGATTGGGTTAATGCAAAAACAAAACAAAAGAAAAAAGGCTATAGGAATTAATTATTTATGCAAATTACGCCTTGATATTTGAAAATGCAGAGAACACTATTTGAAACACTACAGTGGAACCTCGATATAATGAATCTCTATAGAACAATGCCCTTGTTTTTTTTTTTTTTTTGTTACGCCAGTAATATTTAAATATATATGAAACAGAACCTTGGTATAATGAAACCTCATTACAGCAAACAAATTTTGGCAGACCACTGGCCCTACGCTATATTGAGGTTCCACTGTATCATCTTCATTTTGATGTCAGTTGAGATGAGAAAAGGTAATAACATTGACCACTGTAAGCGCTCTACTTCATCTTTTTATCAAACTAGACCTTAGGGTGATGGCAAATTCATTCCTAAGCTTTTTTCAAATTGTCATTTGTTTCATTATTTTGTTAATGTTTTTGCAATTAGGTGCTTGTGTGCCATCTCAAATGTTCGTTCTTAGCTGGGAACATAATAGTAGGCTGGAAAATGAACATCTAGGGATGCCTTGGGGTTTTGTATGGCCCAGGTTGGGTGGGGGGGGGGGGGGAAATCCCCTGCCCTTTATAAAGTTTTGATGCAGCTTCATAGATGATTGAAACCGCAACCAGTAAAGTAATTGGTGAGCAACAAATTTTTAGTATAATTTGGATTTTATAGTTAGTAATTTATCAAAGCATGTTTAGAAGTCATTGCATTTATTACAGTCCCAATTACAGTCCCAATCTTACATAAATAATATTTAATGATTATTGCAGTACCTGTACTCCTTATGAGCATCATCAAATATTTTTTGGTATACTCCTTGCTTTATTTATATATGTCTATTTCTTCTACTAAAAAGGCAAGTGGACTTTATATTATGTAAATAAATATTAAATTGCATTACATTCACGAGGTCCTGATGAGCAACTTCCAATAACATTTCTTGTTTTATGATATATGTATTTCTTCTACTGAAAAGGCAAGTGGGCTTATCATCCCAATCTTATTAGTCCATGGGCCAAGTGGCTAAAAATGGCGGATCGTTACCACTTGGGGGGACGAAGGCCACCATATATCAAACTAAAGCTTATCGTGTGTAGATTTAAAAAATATATGATGGAAATGTTGTAAGAGTAGCTTAAAGGAGTCACGTGACCTTGAATTTTGCATAATTAGCATAAATTGATAATATACTAAAATGCGGCTTTTAGCAAGTAAGGCTGTAGATTCTGCATAAAATAAAGCAGGCATAGATAAGATATAATGTCTGTAAAGTATTTTGTCACTTTTAAGGATAAATAGTCACGTGGCACTGACGTCACTTCCGGTCGCGGTAAAAAACCCTCCATTTTTTGTATATTTTTCCTATTTTTGTTTTTTTTTGGCTTCTTCCTGTTATGTGAGTGGCATTGGAAGGATTTTATACTTGGCTTGACGAGTCACACCCAGCGGACAGTCGTCAAGTACAAACATGTCTTGATGAAATTGGTACCCTAGCTGATGAACGGTCTAAAGAAAGACACGATGAGGTTTCCAAGAACCGAGTTTTCCAGCGTTTTTCTGACCTTTTTGCTGAATACACTCTTCATCTTCGGAATACCAATGACCCCCTTTCAGAATTCTGGATGTCCTATATAGACATGATCGAGCTACTACTTCACATGATCCGTGCTTCTTGAGAAGGGAATTGGGAACTCCATCTCTCCTGTGTCCGCCAGATGCTCCCATGGTGCTTTTCCAACGATGCTATCAACTACGCAAGATACATGTCAGCTTCTTATAGCGATATGACAAGTCTACCAGATGAGCACCCTAAGGTACACGAGTTCATGAGAAATGGTGGATTTTCAGTTCAGTTGAGCAACGACAATACATTTGGAAGAATTCCCGTTGACCAGAATCTTAAAGAAACCGTAAATAGAGATACCCAAACACCTGGGGGTACTAAGGGCTTTAGTTTGAAGCCTGGGGCCGTACAAAGGTACTACTTGACGGCAGAATTCAGAACTTTGCTCCTGCGCAGTTTGCGCGAAATGGTTGACTATGCCAAAGGGAAGCACGGCCATGCTGACCTTCACTCGTCTCGCATTGCCCAAGATGAGAAAGATGTTGCCGCAATGGTTGATTTAATCAAGAACTGGACAGATCCATTTTCAGGTCATATGCAACTGTCTAGCATCTCAACAGGAGCTGTTGCCACTACTGCTATAGCAGAGGAGCTTGCGACCGCCTATAAAGTTGGAGAGGCAGCCTACGCTGATTTCAAGAAGACCCGTCTCGAATCACAGCCCCCAACGGTAAGGTTCAATGACAAATTGAAGAAGCGAAAGCTGAAAACCTTCAGTGCTTTATCGAAGACCAAGACAGTGGCAAAGGGCAAAGACACGGAAACTGTTCTGCGCGATGATCGAAATTTGTTTGCGCGGATGATCATAATTGCTGAAAGCCGCAATCTGAAAATGCAAGATGTGTTAAAGCATCCATTAGGCCCTCTTCCTGTTTCCCTGGCCTGCAACAATGGCTTTCCCCGAAAGACCAATAAGGCACAACTTGGCAAAGAATTAGAGAAATTGATACAGCCAACGGTAGAAGTAACAAGGCCTTCAGCTTACCTAATAGATGGGATGGCTCTGGTCCAAAAGCTGAAGGTAGATTATCTCACATTTGGTGAGATCGCAGACAATATTTTATCTAGAGTGTTGCGTGAGGCGGAGGGTAGCGATAGAGTGGATGTCGTATTTGACGTGTACAGAGACATTGCCATTAAATCAGCAGAAAGAGAACTCAGAGCTGAAAGTGATGCAATAACTTTCAAGAACCTTGCGGCTGGCCAGAAGGTCAAACAATTCAAGAATTTTTTACGCAATGGTGACAACAAAACAAGTCTTATCAGATTTGTTGTGGAACACTGGCAAAAAACACCGGGTCGCAAGAGACTGGAAGACAAGCAGCTGTATGTAACATGTGGAAACCGATGCTACAAGATCACTGCCGAGAGAGTAGAGGAAGAAGAAGAGCTAAGATCCGAACAAGAGGAGGCTGATACACGACTTCTCCTGCATGTGCAACATGCAGCAAATGAGCAGCGATATAGGTCAATCATTGTATCCTCGGAAGACACAGACGTTAGAATCCTGTGCCTAGCGTTTTCATTTTCCATTGATGTACCGATTTATCAGCGTTGTGTTTCTCAACTGAACGTTCGGTATGTCGACATCGGAAAAATAGCCCACGTCATTGGCCAGGATGCGTGCAAAGCACTACCAGGTTTGCACGCATTTACGGATTGTGATGAAGTGAGTGCTTTTGCAGGGATTGGGAAAGTGAAGCCCCTGAAGAGGTTACTGAGGAAAGAGGAATACCAACGTACGTTCCAGCAACTTGGAGAAAACTGGTTGATATCTGAAGATCTTCTGATGCAGTTAGAGGCATTTGTCTGTGATATGTATGGCTCAAAGAACGGTATCTCAGACGTGAATCAATGCAGTTATTCGGTCTTCTGTGCAAAGAAAGGTAATAATAACAATAATAATTATAATAATAATAAACTTTATTAAAGTGTCATATGAAGTTCGCTAATCGGAGACACCTAGCTATCTGCATAATATTAAGAAATTAGATCACAATAACAAAGAAATAAATTCAGCGATAAATGTAAATGTTTTCCCGCCCCGTACCTATGATATATATTGATATATTCATTCAGGTGAAGCGGAATCCCATCAGCTGCCTCCATGCCAAGACAGCTTGTACAAGCATTGCCGGCGAGCCAACTATCAAGCGGCGATATGGAAAATTCTCTACGAAACAACGACATTCCATCCCCAGTTGGTCATGGCTGGTCTCTTGTAAATGACGGAGCTCAAGAGAGATTGGTGATAGATTGGATGAGTGGACTCCCGGCACCAACAGCTGTAATAGAGCTTATGTCATGTATGTGCAAGAAGGCCTGTAATGATGATTCATGTGACTGCATTCGAAATGGCTTAAAGTGCTCCGACCTTTGCCGCCTAATAACTTGTTCTAACCAGCCAGATGAAGAGGAGGACATCCAGGTAGACCTGGATGAAGAGCACGTTGACTTTGACTGAAGTCTCTTGAGTGTGGGTGTAACATTTTCAACATATCACCTTCCCATGAGAAACACTTATCATGCTAAGAACACAGGGTACCCAGTTTAATTCTTATTTGAACATACATTTAGAATAATATATCTTTTAGTGCTTTTTATGGTAAAAATACTCTGAATTGTATTTTTGAATCACATAAAAGAAAAAAGGGGAAAAAGTAAATATATAGACAAAAATTGAGAGTTTTTTCCCGTGACCGGAGGTGACGTCACTGCCACGTGACTGTTTATCCTAAAAGTTACAAAATACTTTACAGACATTATATCTTATCTATACCTGCTTTATTTTATGCAGAATCTACAGCCTTACTTGCTAAAAGCCGCATTTTAGTATATTATCAATTTATGCTAATTATGCAAAATTCAAGGTCACGTGACTCCCTTAAGCTACTCTTACAACATTTCCATCATATATTTTTGAAATCTATACATGATAAGCTTTAATTTGATATATGGTAGCCTTTGTCCCCCGAGTGGTAATGAAAAGCCACTTGGCCCATGAACTATATGTAAATAAATATTTAATTGCATTACATGAATTCCTTATGAGCATCTGACATTATTTTTGTTATATTGCTGGCTATTATATATCTAGAAATAAATTTTGATTAGTTACCTATAACATTATCTGGTGTGTTTTCACTAGATTTAGGCTAGCTTTAAGATAGAGAAAACGTAATCCGGGTTTTGTGATTCCAAAATGTATCTTGGAACGAGTCAATACATTTTTTTTTGTAGCCTTCGACAGTAGGCCCAAAACCAAGTCACTCGAAGCGTATTACATTTTCCACGCATTGGAATGCATTGTAAACAACAGTGTATTGTATTTTCCCATGTTCGGGGGAGGTGGCAAAGGGGTCAACTAAGGTGGTGGTGTTGAAGGAACCCATCACTACATAGGCTCTGTTTTAAATTTTGGTAGAAAGGGAAGGGGGAGACCCCTCAGCCCCCTGTCTCTGCCATCATCATCAACGCAACTCATACCAAAACTGGAAACAAAAACCAATTGGTTGATACTTTGCTATGTAAAGTGTTAAGGTTTCATGGACCCTTTGCACAATACAATCACACAAAAAAATACCTTGCTGCATGACAAACAATGCAGAAGGACAAGAAAAACAGAGATTATATTTTCAAAACAAATTTCCAAATCTTCTCAAGGTTACACTGCATCATTTGCCAACCAGCAAGGTGTTTTTTTTACCAGGTGTCATGCAAAGGGTCCATTTCATAATATCATGCTTTTTAATTTTCTTGTCCTTTGTTTCCAAGACATTATATCAACATAACTAAAATCAAAGGAGGATAAAAATGAAACTTCAATAAACATTTGAAAAGGTAGCTATTTCAAAAGTCTCAATCCAGCAAAATACCAAGTGACATTAACAATAAACCCAAATATTGTCTACAAAAGTTATGATGAATCACTCATGTCATCGGCATTCTCCACAAAACTACTTAAGTTCCTTGAATCATCAAAGTCTTTAGAGGCATTGGACAGGAAACTAATGCCTTCTAGATCCTGAGTGTCAAGCATGAACAGAAGTGACGAGTCATCCCGCACTTGTGCCCAGTCAGGCCTGATAGACTCATCCTGGCATTGTTCTGCACCACTGATATCAACAGGAAGTTTGCTTGTGTCAATGTCACCAAAAACGTCAGCAAATACATGCATTACTGCAATTGCATGTTGTTTCCTCCAGATCTCCACAACATCCATCACATCCCTGAGGCTAAACAAAACATGACAATTGCGAACAATTTGCTTGATATGATATGAATTAAATTCAAGTAACACATTAGGGCAGGAGACCATTGTCTGTACTTGCATTTGCTTTGACAAATTCATATGCAGTGCTAGTAATTTCCTTACTAAAAGCCTCTTGTCCTTGCTAGACACTGTACGTGTCCTTGTGACAGAATCACTTTCTCTGTCTGAATGAGCAATACATATCTCTGGATGCATGTCCGAGTCTCTGCGAGGACTTCACAAATCAGGGCACTCTTCGGATCCACGCTCACAATCTGTAGCGCAAATGTCACAACAAGAATGTGCATGATCACCAGTTTGCAATTCATTACTGAAACCAAAATGGCTCATCAACGATTTTCGACGACACTCACCGCTGCTGAGATATTCTTTCATGTCCTTCTCACTATGAGTTGATAGAAGACCATTGTATAGAAGAATACAAGTGCTTGGCAGCCCATCTCTGCCAGCCCTGCCACATTCCTGAACATACATTTCTACAGATTTTGAGGGCCCAAAATGTATGATCCTCCTAACTCTCTTACAGTTTACGCCCATCCCAAATGCAATGGTTGAAATTAACAGTCTTAAATGACCATCCTCATTAGCCATGTTCTCCAAAATGTGGTCCTTAGCACGGCTTGGTGTGCCTGCATAATACATTTCAACAATCCGATTTTGAGGTTTGGTTTCCCCGTGGTAAATATTCTTACCTAGGAAAACCTCAAAAACACGAAATAAAATCTGGCATTGCTTTCTTGTCTGGCAATAGAGTATGGTTCTTTGGGTCTTTGCACCTTGGCTTTTCAAATCTGTGATGAGGGCAGAAAATGCAGTTTGAAGTGCCTCGTTTTTGTCCAAATACTGCACACTGTATGTTAGATTGGGTCTGTTTGGACTTTGTTCAACAAACTTTACATCATCTTCTCCCAGTTGCAGTGAAGTTAAAATCTCCCTCTTCGTTGCCTTTGTTGCAGTTGGAGTTAGAATTATTAACCGGCTTGTTGAAGGAGCCAGTGACCTTAGCTCCCCTAGGCAACCATACCACTTCCTGAAAGGTACCTTCTTGGATCCAGACAGTCCCCTGTACAGAGATTGTAGATTAGATACTGGTATATAAAGGGATGATGTTCTAATTTTTACAAGTATTGACTTTAACAGTGACTCATTGCATTATGCATGTATACAAAACTTTAAAATACAACAAGGATGAACAATAACCCTTAAATGAAAGAAAGGTAATATTAAAACACGACTGATTATTACTGCCTCCTCTGTCCAAAACTGTATGGAAATTTTCATGCCCAATTCATATAAAATTCCACACTTTTTTAAGGCCTTAAACCGACCCGACGGACCATGAGAAGTTTATTTTGACTCGTACCTAAGTTATAGTAAACAAGTTGTTCGAATGGATGTTACATTTCGGTGAATCACACCGTACAAACTTGTCTTACCATGTTTTGAAAATCGTTATTTGCCAATTTGAATATCATTGAATAAAAAAAAAAATAAGAGAATAAGACACATACCATTGGGTTATACAGTGTGCTTCGTCGATAGCCACTCCGATCAACATTTCTACAAATGTGTTGCAACTGGAAATACTTCTCCAAGTCGCGGTGGAAAGAAGACACTCGGGCGAACCGTACACGACAATTTAGTTGCCATTAATTACTTGTTGGACAATATCTGGGTCTCCTTCGTCGGTAATAGCGATTGCTGGCACTCCAGTGTTGTTCAGAAAGTGAACTTGGTCCTCCATTAAGGATCGTAAAGGAGAAATCACGATTACAAGACTAGAGCCTCGAGGTTTATCGAGCAGAGCATCTGCAGCGATTGGGAGACACTGGAAAATCAAGGATTTTCCGTAACCGGTCGGCAAATTTACAAACACATTCCGGCCTTCAAGGAATTCTTTCAAAGAATTTTCCTGCTCAGGGAGAAGGCTTTCAAGTTCGAACTGTTCTTTCACTGCTTTGAACGCTTTTTGCCAACTTTCTTCTTTAAATTTTGACATATCTGGCTTTCTTTCGAAGTGAAGGACCGTCACGCACACGTGAGAATTGGGCCAATCATGAGGCGCGTAAGAAACCCACCAATCAGAAACGCTCACATATGTCCTTGCGACTCTGCTGGATATCAGAACGAGCTTTTGTGCACTAATTCGCAGACGGACTATATCCACACTATATGCGATACGTGGGCCGGCTGCACCGCAGGCTAAAAATTGTTTATCCTTGCATTTAAAATTTTGAAAGCGGAATGTTCATCTCTAGAGTGAGAACAGCAATTCAATAAGGTCTCAGCATTTTTTGAAAATGGGAATTCTATCAATATTTGTACAGGATTATTCCGAGTCTCAGCTTAAGGAATTGATTCCAGGTTTGAGCAAATGGCGTATTGATCAGACTCGAAAGCATGCCGCGCTCGTTGGCCGAAAGACCTACCTGAGATACGTCGTACACGCTTAGATCCTGTAAGGGTGGACCACTTCATTGATTTTATAGCTAGTCCTCATTATTTTTAAGGCGTTACATTTTCACGGAGTTATGCATGAACTTTTCTCCTCACCCTCTCCACTGACCGTAGAAAGCAACTAATGTTCATGGTATATTGTACTTTTAGTAAAATCCAACTAGTGGTCTATAATCAATGCTGCGTTCTGATTGGTTGAGCTACTACTTGGCTATATGTTATAGCCCATTAGTAACGAAAAGCGTGGGCTTTCAAGAAAGTAGCAAACTCTATCTCAAAACAGATTACAAACTTTACATTGCTGAGGATAGCCGTTGCACTGATCATTGTCGAAAGCATGCATTATCTACAGCGGAGCCAGAATTCCATGAGCCATGTCGTCACAAAAATGATGTAACATGGGATCGCTGCGAAGTTCTGGAAAACACACTAACCGAAATTGAAGAAGCAATATCTTCAGAGAATGCACAACTGAGGTACGGTTTTCTTGCAAGTAAGTTTTTATAGATGTGAGTGTGTTAGTGGAAAATGGTCTGACCACACGGAGAAATTTATATTACGCACATCTGGAAACTGGTCGAGTTGCCCTATTTCTACATAAATTCTTTACAGGAAAGGGAAGCACCATTTAAAAATTGGGAACGGAAGGAGTGAGGATTTCAAGTTGCACATTACCGTGTAGCACGAAAATTTTGCGGATTGGCGATTTTTTGTGGTTTGCGGGAACAAATTTTTGCGGTTCGAGATGACTGAAATTTCTGGTGAGAACTAATTTTTGCGATTCTCTGTTCAAGTAGCAGAATATTTAAGTGGAAGAAACCTTAATTTGGTATTTTTAACTTTTATTTTACGGTATGTTGAGTCAAAGTTCACTCTACTTACATATTTAATGGAGAATAATACGGTAATCACTGTAAAGACTTACTGCACAAAGGGACTGAACAACAGCAAAACAAAACAAAAGCCTATCTCTACCATACACAACAAAACACTCTTTCGTTAATACGGTATATGCCCGTGTAAACATTTCATGAGAGAAAAATTACAAGGATGGTATGCAGGAGAAGTTGAGAAGAAGATAAACGCTGGGCAAAACACCAGTGACATTGCAATTGAGATGGGCATTCCAGTTATGCGTGAGCTTACCTCACGTTGGTTGATCGATTTTTATCAATACGTCAAGAAAAATCCCGCGATCATCGACAATGGATGGAAAATATGCGGCATCACAGACGCCCTAGCAAATGGTGTTCCTTCAGATGACCCATTCGCACCAATCTGATGAACTGAATTGCTGTTCACTTGACATTTTTTGTTCTTTATACATTGTTTTGTTTGCCCAACAGACTACCGCATTATGTTTAAGTCCAATTTATAACGCCCCAGTGGCACAAGTCCATTAAGAGCAGAGTTTTTGATTTTGACTGAAGGGAGTTAATTTGGGCGACTTTTTTTTTCTGCGGGAACTAATTTTTGCGGATCAAGGTCAATCCACAAAATTCGCAAAAATTAGAACCCGCAAAATTTTCATGCTACACGGTATTTCGACGAAAGTTTAACGCAAGAATTTTTATCCCGGTTACTCGCTCTCAAGTTATGTAACCTTGGATTTTTTTTCACTACGCACACCTTTCCCCGCTTTTAACTTTTCTAATGATCTGTCTTTAAGGATTTCTGAGATGTAATGTCTGTAATAATTCCGAACGTCGCGTATTTATTTTTGTGAGACGCACTTGTGGTCTAAAAAATAGCTGACATGAAAATAGCTGACATGAATTAATTTGTCGTTCAAGCTTTGCCAAATACAACACTTTTTTACTGAATTATTTCTTACTATAGTAAATGATCAACAAGGTGAGATAGCTCATGAAGTTGAGACAGCAAGTAAAAAGATCCGAGGCTGGAAAGCTCATTTAATGAGAACTACACACCAAGATGCAGCAAGTCTACTGTCCTTGAGAAACTGTCGTCCAGCCAAGTATTGATTATCATGGATTGGGCAATGAAATGTTTGCCTGTCATTTTTCGAGAAAGTCAATCAGAATGGTTTAACAAAAAGGGAAAATCCTGACATGTGTCTGCGGCAATTTCAAAATCTACTGAAGAAGAACTCGTGGTATGGATCCCGATTAAAGGAGCTGTGTCACGAAATTCAGCCAAATCAGGTTATTGCAAAATGCCTGTTAAATTTAAAGAAACATAAAAACAGGGGGGGCTGGCAGCGAGGTCTGGAACCGAGTTTACATGATCGCCCCAGTTAAGAAATTCGGCCGAGTGAGACTGAGAACAAATTTTCCTTGAAAACAAATATGGCGGAGAATGCAGACATGGAAGGACGATGAGTTTTTGCTCAGTTTTAAGTTTTCCCGCGTACAAATATCAAGAAAAGGTTTCTGTGGACTTTTCTAATGGACCTTTTGGACATCAGAAGGCGTGATCTATGAACAGTTCATGGGTGACTTCACTTATCGTGATTCGGGATCTCGGCAAGTTCAGTTATTATTCAGATTATTAAGCTTCGTGAATTTTCGAGCGACCATCTTGCTCCATCTCTTATATTTTTCCACTTACAGTGGTACTAAGACTCTCCTCCTTATCTTAAACATATATTACGAGCACGATATATTGGTATGAGTCTTGCAACAGTCCTACGTGAATGTTCATTAAACCACTGATTTTCTACTTCACTGTTCGTAAGTTTGTTTGTACACCGGGAGGAACAACAAATTATTAAGCTTCGTGAATTTTCGAGCGACCATCTTGCTCCATCTCTTATATTTTTCCACTTACAGTGGTATTAAGACTCTCCTCCTTATCTTAAACATATATTACGAGCACGATATATTGGTATGAGTCTTGCAACAGTCCTACGTGAATGTTCATTAAACCACTGATTTTCTACTTCACTGTTCGTAAGTTTGTTTGTACACCGGGAGGAACAACAAATATTTATAGGCGTAAATACAGAATACAGGGCCAGTTTAATAAAAACCAGGGTAAATGTTCCAATCACTTTGCTTCACATGTAAGCCATTTTTAATATCAGAAGGTTGGGAGGGGTTTACTGAACCTTCAAAGCCTTCACTGGAATGTCATTGGAGTGATAATCAATAAATTTCCAACAGCAATACTGTATTTAGAAGTTTTGTATTAGATAGTGACTTCGGTTTCAAGTATTTCCTTGAAATTGTTGGTACAAAAATTACCCTTTAGTCATGAATTATACTTGAAATGATTATAGTGGTTTAGTGTAAGAACAAGAGGCTAATTCAGTTGCTAATAAGGGTGAGTACATCAGGAAAGAGTATGCGTTGAGAAAATCCCTCAAAGGACTGAAGTAAAAGAAACACCAAAAAAACCTGAATGTTTTGCAAAGTTTATAAAGAGTATCAGAAGAGGCTTGAAAAATACACAACTTAAGTTTATTGTTTGTGTAAGTTATGAATCTGATTTACAACTAAATTATACAAGGTAAAATTTATTTTTTATCAACCATCAAAAGAAGTTATTGTTGGGCTCGAACCCCATCCTCTCAGCAGTTGTTTCTACGTTACTACCCTTGGCTTATTTGGCCTAGATGGGTTTAGGGTGGCGACCATTTCACCCTTTAGAGTTTTGAACAAAGTGTCTGTTTGGGTTGTGAAGGTTGAAGAAGAAGCGGCCTATAGAGTACAGTCTATTGGTACCACCATTTTTCCCCCCAAGTTTTGCCATGTTTCTAAGTTTAAAAGCTACCTTAATTCTGTATGCTAATTAAAAAGGAAATGAATCAGGATTATAAAATAGGGTCTCTTGGTTTAAAAAGGGTAGGGAAATGCACAATGTGTCCGACCACCCATACTCTCTTTCAGTGTAAGCCCAGGGAGGTGATGTCACATTTTAATTCCCTTTTACCACTTGCTGTAACAGCAAAGTCAGTGAAGGTTTATGGTCTCTGAAAAATATTTTTGCCAGCCTCTCCACAAGTTTCTAACTGTTATTGTTGACTGCAAATAATATTATCTTCATAATCATTTTACATTTTTTTTCCAAACCATCCTATGGTGTTTTCAATATCCACTAGTACAAGGCAATTTTTAAGTTGAGAGGGTTTACTTTGACTTAATTAACAGTAAACTACATTTTCACACAGACACAAACTAACCTGGCAGGTTGATGTCCAAAGGTGTAAAACATTACATGCAACTATATGGCAAAAACTGATCACAGTGGCCAAAGGAAAAGCAAAAATAGAAATGTCATCATTTTTTTAATTTTATAAATTCCCTGCCTTTGAAGCATATTTAGCCAGATGTGGTCCTTGTCAAAACATGCAAACTTGAACATTTATTTTTTGACCTTAGCCTATCTTTTTTAAACCATACTCTTGTTCCAGTGGGTAGTGTAGTTTTTGGAATAAAATATTTATAATTTCTCCCTCTTTGTTTGCAACAAAACAAAACACAATTGAATAAGGACTCAAACTGAAGGCAGTGTAGTAACCGCTGTCATGAAAAGAGAATTCCAAACACACAAAATAATTACCCTTTCATTTGCCTATATTCATTTCTTAGAAACTACGGTAAAGTTTAAATTAAATCACACGAAGATAAGAACTTTATAAGCTTATCAAGAGTGAATGATCTCTTAGCAAAATTTATTTAGCTTCTAGTACATCACAAAATACATAAACTACGAGATTTGACCATGCCACTCAATCATCCAACGCAACTCTGCCAGGATAAGTTCTCAATCAAGGATGAAGAATTAAGAATCTCAAACATCATTTCTTAAAGGTGTAATAAAACCGTAAACAACTCTGACAACTCTTTTACTTGACCACGGCCACCGCGCTTTTTTTTAATATCACGAAGGATTAATTTTCGGCCTTTCACTTGAAAATATAAACTCTTCTACGTACGCATTGGAGGGTTGGCCCTTGTTCTAGTCTTGTGGATATTCTACACAGAAACACATCTTGAAAGCCTGTAGTGAGCCAAAAGGTCGGGCATCGAGGAAAATGTACAATGACCGTTCACTGGTCTCGTTCTTAGCGTAGTAAACCGCATGTAATGACAAACGCAAGACCAGAAGAAAGGAAAACGTAAGCACATTACTGCCAAAAAATCGGTTACAGCAAGGAAAGCAATGACCAACAGGACCAAAAGCAAATTCACTTCGCACTGTCGAATCGCTGCGAAGACGAACTTCTTGGTGTTGCTATTGTTCCTAACCTGTTTCGCGCATGCTCGCTACAGTTCTCGAATGATTGACAGATTTCTTAACTGGGGCGATCATGGAAAGCCGAAAAGCGGCAAGATCAAAGGCCGTTGCCAGCCCCCCCTGCATAAAAATGACCCTGTAAAACGTTAAAGGAAGGTTAAAATAACACAACAGATACAACAGCTGCCACAGAAGAAGATTGAAGATTGATTGATTGATTCAAAAATGAAAATTGAAACGGATCAAAATTAGGGTTTTTGAAAACTTTTTTCTTATTATTATTTTATTGTTATTATTTTTTATTTAATATGTCTGTTTATTTCCTATAAAACTACAATTACACAGTGCATACTTACTATTACACTAATAATAATAAAATAAACTTACTTACACACTTACGCAGTAACCATAGCATAACAATTACACAGTGCCTACTTACTAGTACACAGTACCTTAAAAGTAACAATATAATGCAACGACAATTATAATAATACTAAACTTAACTTATAGAAGCAAAGAGCCAGAGGTTATCGCCCATTTCCTAGTAAATTTTTCTATTGTATTGTTTTCAATACATATATATTTCTCTGTCTCATGTTTATTTTTGACCTTTAGCTTGAAACCAGTTATATTTGGAAGCGTTTCAGACCTTCTACAATCCCAAAGATATACCTTAGCAATCAGTAACAAATAATTGAGTACGGGGCATTTAGAGGTTATTATTCCTATCAATACGTCTTGCAGACTAAGGTGAAAGAATTCCTTTGTTAAAGAATAGTAATAGGATTCGAACTGTTTCCAGAAAAGCTGGGAGTACACACAATGGAAGAAGAAATGAGGTAGCGTTTCTGGTTCTGATTCACAGAAAGAACATTTATCATCCGCAGTATAACCTATCTTATATAATTTGCTGTTAGTGTATAATATAGAATTAAGAATCTTGTACTGAAAAGCTCTAACATATGGTTCGAAGGCCAGATTATGAGGCAGGATAAAAACTTTTTTCAGTTGATCATCGGTTAAGTTAAAATCATGTTTCAGAAATCGTGAATTATTTGGAAACTGTGCTTTTCTGCTTTT